TAATTATTCTATTAAGTACACTGAAACAAATATAAGTTTCTTTGATTTAATATTGTTCATCAATTCCGACACAATTAAATATTCATTTACATTCGCTAACCAAGGATTAAATGCCTGACCACAAATAACGTTGGACAATTTGGCGGGGGCAATAGATATTTACGTGCTCCTACAAGACAGTTTTTCCAGGGAGATTCTAAGCCTCCTTATTTGCTATGCTTAGCCAACTGACGAGCAGCAGTTAACAACTCGCTGACACGCAAAAGAGTCTAGATAGCACTTCGGGTGTGGTCTTCATTGGTCAAAGACCGGTACCGGGACTCTAGCAAACTGAAACAAAGAAAGTAATTACTAAACTATCAAAAATGAAAACAGATTACTTTATGCAACCCTGGCCGATCCACTTTGCGTACATCACTAACTTTGTAAAACTTTTTTTGAATATCAACTTAAATTCCCTGTGGGGGAAAAGTCGTACGAAGTGAAGTCTGTTAGTTACTTAAAAAAGTGTAGATGAATAGTAGTCGCATAAGATGCCATTGTAGCAGATGACATCTGAATTATATCTTCGTCTAACAGAGGTGTTTGTGTAAAGGCATTTGTTAAGGCTTCTGTGCGTTTACTATATCCACAACACTTCGGGTTTTTTATTCTTCGAACTGTCACTGTTAGTATAATAAAAACGCCGCAGAATTCAAAGCAGCCCGATTGAGAAAGGATGAGTCTGTGTGTGAGAGACATAGACCATTTTGCAAGTGGTTAGAGACTATGCGACCCAAAGGAGAAGGAAACGGGACTACTGCCGCTTGAAACGCTAATTCTTTACCGAAAATAACAGTTTATTTACTGTGGCTGGGATGTAGGGAAGTAGCGTTAAGAGGTAAACCAGCTAGGAGTGAAAGGTTATTCCATGTGCCCGACTTAGATTGCGGTTGCTCCGCACAGTCCTTAACTGCCATCCTAGTCTCAGAAACCACATCCCGTCTGGAGGCCACACCCTAGTCACCGCGTCGACGTGTGGGCTAAGCCAGGTGAGCGTATTCGGTGTGTGTGTGTGTTTATGTACACTCTTGCCCTTAACGACCCACGTCGTAGATGCACACGGGGATAGATCAGGGCATGGCAGGCGCTATTCGGGTTGCGCTCCCATAACAAATGCCGAACATGGGTGGGGAAATTGGTGGCACGTGTAATTGCAGGCTCAGGCCCTAGCCACACTTGGTCTTTATGGCACTCCCACTCGGTAGGAACTGAATCAGACATATAGTCCTACCGGCAAAGACAAGGGAGACTGGAATAGCCATTTCTGGCTTATTAGCCGTTGTCCCACCCGAGCCTCAAACTCGCGACCCCTTTGATCAGAGTCAAACGCCCTAACCATTGAGCCGCGAGCTCATTGTCTTGCCGGGTTAGGTCTGAGTGAACGTTTATCAATGAGTGTGAATCAGACATGGCGGCTCCGGGTGCCTGAGCCCAATCCCGCCTCCTATCTAATTGACTCTGGCTTTACACAAAACTCTGGCAGATAAGGGAAGAGAGAATGCTCGGTGTGCGCGTCGGATGATGCTTTGGCCTGCGCATTCTCCGAGTGGCGACTGGCTTTGGCCAAATTGAACCTCAGCACCAAATATGGAGTTAGCAGGTCCTTGCACCTGCTTATAGACTGGGACCTGTGAACCATAACTCAAGTAATCCGCGACTTACACGATTGGCACTTCTCGCGTGAAGTTCGGCCTTATCAAAGTTGAATGTGTGGGCGGGTCTCGTCGAATGATCCGCAACTTGAGAATTGGCGTCATTTCTCCGCACTGCTGCAGCGTGTTCGGCAATTCGCGTCTTGAGAAATTTTCCAGTTTCCCCGGCGTAGTTGCTTTGTCCGCAACTGCACCAAGTTCTATAGGCGACTCCAGATGCTTTTTTTGTCTTGACAGTGGGTTTTTTTTGGTTTCATTATCTGGCCTGTTGGCAGTGTCCACTGAATTATTCAAATCTGTCAAATGCTCCAAATAATCCTCAAAACATTAGCGCACAAGCGGGCAATTATGCTTGATTGGAGAGTCGTTAACTGTCATAAGTGTGCAGTATCTTAGTGACTGTGTTCTATAAATACTGCAACTCTCTGTGCATTTATTACCCGTTTCTGCTCCTACTGTTTATGCTAATTTTTCTGACGGAGAATCCTCGAGGGACTTCAAAAAGAGCAGGCGCATGAAAGCCTTGTCCTAGCGTTCGCATCTTTCTGAGACTGTCATGTTCGCTTGTATTGACAAAGTCACATTGTTTTCCCAAAGAATGTAGTTCCTTCAAAAAAGTGCTTTAACGTGATTTTTCAAAAGGTTGCCCATTATAGCAAGTTTTTAAATTAATCTTAGACATAACGATATCAAACTTCTGTTGTAGACGTTCTTTTTGCTCAGCAATGAGTTTTGCTATTTTGCATAGTTTGGGAATAAAGCCCATTTGGCTCACCTCATACGAACTTATATTCAGAAATGCTTAGCTTTGGTAAATGCTCCTATGAAATCTCTTATTCTAAAGGCTTTGATATAAACACCGAGGCGAATCTATATTTAGGGAAAAAAGCTTGTAAACACCGTAAAATGGTCGAACAATTGTCAGAATTTAGAGGACAATCTGAAGTTAATTGTAATCTCATACCTAAAACATGTATAAAGAAATCTGACGAAAGAAAAGTTCTTTTGATAAAAAGGAAACCGTATGGATATAATTTCACCTAAGGATAAAATTTCCATTTATTGGTCTGATTTATAGCTATATCTGTGGAACTCGAGTTTCTTTGACAAATTTAGGTTTTCTACAAAAACAATTAGTACTTTTTATATTTTTATTAAGTAACAAATTTGCATATGTTTGTTCATCATTATTTCAAAGTTTTATTACATGCACTGATGCCAACTTGCGAGAGCTTATCAAACGTTCGCAAATTATGGTATTTTGCATGAATTTCCGGCCGCACTGTATGTAAATACTAGGTGGTACGCATTCTAAGCAATAAAATAGAGAAGCCAGTTATTTTCGCTTATTTTTGACCTGGTGATAGCAACACGCCGTCAGGCAAAATAAAAAGAAGTGAGAGATTTGGAATGTCCCACTAGAC